CCCTTAAAAAACCCAGTTATCAGCCACTCGGATGCCTTGAGACAGGCAGGAGATCCTTATTAATATTCTGTCACCTGCACCGTGTTCTTACATGGTTTGCTCAGGAACCTGGAAATGTTCATCGCTTCCTCCTACGAGTTACATCTAAGGCTTCTGTGGCACGCCACAAAAAAGTTTCCATTGTCCACAGTCAAGGAAGAGGAATTCGAGTAAATGCACGTCATCTTTTTCTCTTTATTATAGAAGATGCAAATTATATATCATATTTCAACAATCCTACAGTGAAGCTCAAGGTTATGAATTCTTGAACGGAGATTTGATTCTCTGTCTCCTGTTAGATCTGTTCCAACTCTTACCTGCAGGGGGTGGCCTGGGATGGAAGGACCCCTATAAATGGTCTGGAGTGGTGTCAGGATTTCCGTTCCGCCTAGGTCGGCCCGCATAAGCTTAACCCTCCTCAGTGCCTCCTCCATGGTGTGCTGACTGTACTGCACACTATTGCTGAGAAAAACAGACACACCCAGTGACCTGATAGCCACTTGACTTTGTCCCGTACTGAGACCCTGAACTGAGACACTCTTGTTGTCAACAATCTCACCGAAAATCCCTAGTGCCAAAGTCAATTCTGCATTAACCTTTTTAACAATCTAGTCCGTTCTTTAATTCTCCTTTTGGACTCTATGGCCTTTCTAGAAACTTACGGAAAGAACGCCTCATAAGAAGATCCAAATCCATAGACATTGAAATAACAGCCTACAGGCAAACTCTTCAGCAGTAAAATCAGCGTTTCCTGAAGGAAGCGAGCACAAGGAGACAGTGAGAGAGACCCTGCCACACGCAGACCCTGCCAGCCTAACTCGAGGATGTGCGCCCTCACCCCTTCCCACCTCCAGGTCCCCATATTCCAAGGCCAGCTTCAGAGTGGTCATGTTAGCCGCAGGGTCGGTCAGACGGGGAACGGACCCAGAGTTCCCAGTGGAACCTAATTTAAGCATGAGATTCATCCTCACTTGAGCATGTGACCAGGAAAAGGAAGGAGCTGGTTTTACCTTGGCTGCATCTATGCGCAGCTGAGATCTATCCTCTTGACTCATGGGGCACTGCATGCTTCCTGAGCGGTCCATGAGGAAGACGAATTCCCCGCAGGTAACTGGTGGCTGAGCTTCCGGGATGTTCGGATAGAAACTCACCATTGCAGAAGGATCTCCCATCAAACTACCTACTCAGAAAGGATAAGATGAAAAGGAAATCAACAATACTAAAGACCAAGAATCAACTACAGCCAGTTACATGGGGAACTGAGAAAACCTGCATCTAAAACACTGTTTGGTCTTAACTGAATCTGATCTTATCTATATCTGGGGTCAAAGGGTTCGAGGTAAGTTATAAACACATTAAAGATA